TAACAAACTACACAACATGAGAGGTATAACAAACTACACAACATGAGAGGTATAACAAACTACACAACATGAGAGGTATAACAAACACACAACATGAGAGGTATAACAAACTACACAACATGAGAGGTATAACAAACTACACAACATGAGAGGTATAACAAACTACACAACATGAGAGGTATAACAAACTACACAACATGAGAGGTATAACAAACTACACAACATGAGAGGTATAACAAACTACACAACATGAGAGGTATAACAAACTAACACAACATGAGAGGTATACAAACTACACAACATGAGAGGTATACAAACTACAAACATGAGAGGTATAACAAACTACAACAACATGAGAGGTTAACAAACTACACAACATAGAGGTATAACAAACTACACAACATGAGAGGAATAACAAACTACATAATATGAGAGGTATAACAAACTACACAACATGAGAGGTATAACAAACTACACAACATGAGAGGTATAACAAACTACACAACATGAGAGGTATAACAAACTACACAACATGAGAGGTATAACAAACTAACACAACATGAGAGGTAACAACTACACAACATGAGAGGAAAACAAACTACACAACATGAGAGGTATAACAAACTACACAACATGAGAGGATCACAACTACACAACAGAGAGGTATAACAAACTACACAACATGAGAGGGGGTAACTACTACACAACATGAGAGGGGTAACTACTACACAACATGAGAGGTATAACAAACTACACAACATGAGAGGGGGTAACTACTACACAACATGAGAGGGGGTAACTACTACACAACATGAGAGGGGTAACTACTGCACAACATGAGAGGGGTAACTACTACACAACATGAGAGGTATAACAAACTACACAACATGAGAGGGGGTAACTACTACACAACATGAGAGGGGGTAACTACTACAAAAAACATGAGAGGGGGGTGACTACTGCACAACATGAGAGGGGTAACTACTAACAACATGAGAGGTAACAAACTACACAACATGAGAGGGGGTAACTACTACACAACATGAGAGGGGGTAACTACTACACAACATGAGAGGGGGTAACTACTACACACATGAGAGGGGGGGTAAACTACTACACAATATGAGAGGGGGTAACTACTGCACAACATGAGAGGGGGTAACTGCTACACAACATGAGAGGGGGTAACTACTACACAACATGAGAGGGGGTAACTACTACACAACAAGATAGGGTAACTACTACACAACATGAGAGGGGTAACTACTGACACAACATGAGAGGGGTAACTACTCACAACATGAGAGGGGGTAACTACTGCACAACATGAGGGTAACTACTACACAACATGAGAGGGTGGTAACTACTACACAACATGAGAGGGGTAACTACTACACAACATGAGAGGGGTAACTACTACACAACATGAGAGGGGGTAACTACTACACAACATGAGAGGGGTAACTACTACACAACATGAGAGGGGGTAACTACTACACAACATGAGAGGGGGTAACTACTACACAACATGAGAGGGGTAACTACTACAAAACATGAGAGGGGTAACTACTACACAACATGAGAGGGGGTAACTACTGCACAACATGAGAGGTATAACAAACTACACAACATGAGAGGGGTAACTACTACACAACATGAGAGGGGTAACTACTACACAACATGAGAGGGGTAAATACTACACAACATGAGAGAGGTAACTACTACATAACATGAGAAGGGGAACTACTACACATACATGAGAGGGGTAAACTACTGCACAAACATGAGAGGGGTAACTAACTAAACAACATGAGAGGGGGTAACTACTACACAACATGAGAGGGTGTAACTACTACACAACATGAGAGGGGTAACTACTACACAACATGAGAGGGGTAACTACTACACAACATGAGAGGGGTCAAACTACTACACAGCATGAAGAGGGGTAACTACTACACAACAGTGAGAGGGGTAACTACTACACAACATTAGAGAGCAGTAACTACTACACAACATGATGAGGGGGTAACGTACTTCACAACATGAGAGGGGTAACTACTGCACAACATGAGAGGGGTAACTACTACACAACATGAGAGGGGTAACTACACAACATGAGAGGGGTAACTACTGCACAACATGAGAGGGGTAACTACTTCACAACATGAGAGGGGGTTACTACTACACAACACGAGAGGGGTAACTACTACACAACATGAGAGGGGGTAACTACTACACAACATGAGAGGGGTAACTACTACACAACATGAGAGGGGTAACTACTGCACAACATAAGAGGGGGTAACTACTACACAACATGAGAGGGGTAACTACTGCACAACATGAGAGAGGTAACTACTGCACAACATGAGAGGGGTAACTACTACACAACATGAGAGGGGTAACTACTACACAACATGAGAGTGGTAACTACTACACAACATGAGAGGGGGTAACTACTACACAACACGAGAGGCGTTACTACTACACAACATGAGAGGGGTAACTACTACACAACATGAGAGGGGTAAATACTACACAACATGAGAGGGGGTAACTACTACACAACATGAGAGGGGTAACTACTACACAACATGAGAGGGGTAACTACTACACAACATGAGAGGGGGTAACTACTACACAACATGAGAGGGGGTAACTACTACACAACATGAGAGGGGTAACTACTGCACAACATGAGAGGGGTAACTACTACACAACATGAGAGTGGGTAACTACTACACAACATGAGGGGGGTAACTACTACACAACATGAGAGGGGTAACTACTACACAGCATGAGAGGGGTAACTACTCCACAACATGAGAGGGGGTAACTACTACACAACATTAGAAGCATTAACTACTACACAACATGAGAGGGGTAACTACTACACAACATGAGAGGGGGTAACTACTACACAACATGAGAGCGGGTAACTACTACACAACATGAGAGGAGTAACTACTACACAACATGAGAGGGGTAACTACTACACAACATGAGAGGGGGTAACTTCTACACAACATGAGAGGGGGTAACGACTACACAACATGAGAGGGGTAACTACTGCACAACATGAGAGGGGTAACTACTACACAACATGAGAGTGGGTAACTACTACACAACATGAGAGGGGGTAACTACTACACAACATGAGAGTGGTAACTGCTACACAGCATGAGAGGGGTAACTTCTACACAACATGAGAGTGGGTAACTACTACACAACATGAGAAGCAGTAACTACTACAACATGAGAGGGGGTAACTTCTACACAACATGAGAGGGGGTAACGAATACACTACATGAGAGGGGTAACTCCTGTACAACATGAGAGGGGTAACTACTACACAACATGAGAGGGGTAACTACACAACATGAGAGGGGTAACTACTGCACAACATGAGAGGGGTAGCTACTGCACAACATGAGAGGGGTAACTACTGCACAACATGTGAGGGGGTAACTACTACACAACATGAGAGGGGTAACTACTACACAACATGAGAGGGTAACTACTACACAACATGAGAGGGGTAACTACTACACAACATAAGAGGGGGTAACTACTACACAACATGAGAGGAGGTAACTACTACACAACATGAGAGGGGTAACTACTACACAACATGAGAGGTGTAACTACTACACAACATGAGAGGGGTAACTACTGCACAACATAAGAGGGGGTAACTACTGCACAACATGAGAGGGGTAACTACTGCACAACATGAGAGAGGTAACTACTGCACAACATGAGAGGGGTAACTACTGCACAACATGAGAGGGTATCTACTACACAACATGAGAGGGGTAACTACTACACAACATGAGAGGGGTAACTACTACACAACATGAGAGAGGTAACTACTACACAACATGAGAAGGGTAACTACTGCACAACGTGAGAGGGGTAACTATTACACAACATGAGAGGGGGTAACTTCTGCACAACATGAGAGGGATAACTACTACACAACATGAGAGGGGGTAACTACTACACAACATGAGAGGGTAACTACTACACAACATGAGAGGTTGTAACTACTGCACAACATGAGAGGGGTAACTACTACACAACATGAGAGGGGGTAACTACTGCACAACATGAGAGGGATAACTACTACACAACATGAGGGGTATAAAAAACTACACAACATTAGAGGGGTAACTACTGCACAACGTGAGAGGGGTAACTATTACACATGAGAGGTGGTAACTTCTGCACAACATGAGAGGGATAACTACTACACAACATGAGAGGGGGTAACTACTACACAACATGAGAGGGATAACTACTACACAACATGAGGGGTATAAAAAACTACGCAACATTAGAGGGGTAACTACTACAGTAATTCCCAATACAAGTCATCAGTGTCTACCTCATCACTGTACCTACACATTACAGTAATGTTGCCACTTAACGGGTACCTCCTTTCTACTCACAAATCTCGATCAATGCACTAATTAGGAGCAAAGGTTATTTTTTGAACGCCTAAAACAAATGCTAGTGTCCGACAGGAGCTTTCACTGTTAAGAAGGAGCCTGAAGCAGCTGTGACCTTGAATGAAGGTCGTATGGACCATGGGAATTATGTAGCGTTGAGCAGGGAGGTACCTGCCCAACCCTACATATTGTTTCTCATTGACAATGTAAAATTGTTATATTAAAACTCCAAATATCGAATCTCCTTTTTCATAAAAATTCCCATCTCACTCCCCCTACCACATGTCTGGATTTCTCTCGTAACTATATATGATATAATGTAATATATGTATATATATATATATCTATATATATATATATATATATTATATATATAATATAATATATATATATAATATATATATTATATATATATATATATATATATATATATATATATACATCATCAAAGTGACATCAGGCAGTAGTACCCTGGGGGTTCCTTAGGGGATGCTGGGGTGCCAGCTGGTGCCGCCACTCTTATGGTCTGTGTCTCTGGCACCACAG